GGAATTTCATTCGAAATCTTTCTCGGTAAAAAAAACAATCTCTTTTCTGTTTTAATAACCGGGTAGTTTTTTCTTAACTTTCTATCCATATTTCCCCATAAATGTTCTATTGGGGATAGATCTGGAGAATTTGATGGCCATAACATCAGCCTTACACCCTTTGATTGTAAATATTTTTTAGTAGTAAGTGAGCGATGGGCAGGAGCACCATTTTGTTGAAAATGCACAATGTTGTTGTTTAGTTTCTTTCTAACATCTTCGAAGAAATGACTATTTTCGAGTAATTCAATATATTCTTTTCCTCCCTCTTTTTGTGAACAACGTATTAATTTACTCTTGTATCCGACCCAGATAGCTCCCCATACCATTATTGAACAGTTGTGTTTGGGAGTTTGAGAAAAATGTTCTTTGATGGCTTTGGGAACTTTTCTGTTACCCTTTCTTTTGTTAAATTCGCGTAGATTTGCTAAAAATGATTTTGGTCTCCAACACCACTTTTTGTCTGGATACAACCCAAACCGACTTTCATCACTTATTATTGTTTTTTCCCATTTTTTAATATTTTTATTCCAAAGTTGTTTTTTGGAAAATACCAATCTGTCTTTTATTTGTTTTTGAGTCAAAACTTGTGTGGATATTTGTTTGCAATATCTAAAATGATTATTTTTTATTTTATCTGCGGTTGTTTTTGAACAGCCGACAATTTTTCCTTCTTCAAAACATGATGAAAAAGGTTTGTCGTATGTTATTTTGGATATTTCAATATTTATTGTATTTGATAAACTTTTTCTTCCTTTTTATTGAATAACATTTTCATGTTCTTCAATGCATTTTTTTAATTCTTGAAATTCTTTTTGGAGAAGTTTTGAATAGTGTTTGAATTTCTTTGTAATGCCTACTGGCTTTTAAAGCATTCGCAATAAGTTCGTCCTTTTCCATTGTCATATTTAGTTAAGAGTACAACAATTTAAAGTGATTTCGAAAAGTTTAGATTAAAATTTTATTTTGTTAAGGTGTTTAATAAATAAAATACTTATAAAGACAGTTTTTTAATACAATAATTATAGTTAATATTAGGTTGTGTTATAATAAACTTCTTTGTTTTTAAAATGTTAAAATGTTTTGGGTTTATAATATTCATATATGCCAACAGTTTTGACATAATAACAAGAAAAGAATTAAAATAAAAATTTCTCGTGTTGTTTCGTTCAAAAATTACAGTTAAAATATATTTGTGTTAATTATTCTAGTCTATTTATGTTCCACTACTAATCAATAATAAGTCAAAAAACCCAAAAACGTTTAATTTTAGGTATAAATAATTTAGAATACTTTTCCCGATTAATTAACCAAATTTAAAAAATAACTCACTTCCGGATTTCTTATTTTAGTTAATATATTCTTTTGACAAATGTTTTAACAAAGACAAATACGCCAACCTGTCGTATATAACAGTGCAAATTCGTTCGATATCTGATTCATGGTAGAAAGTAACCACGACAAAAAATGTAGTTACTGCTTTTGTGTCATGCGGACTTGTTCCTTGTCTTTTAAAAAACATGAATGTAGTGTGTGAAGTTGTTAGACAATCTTGTTTAAAAATTTATTGGTTTTTCACAGAAGAAGAACTTTTACGATGCCAACAACGTCATATGATCGAAGAGAATGAAAATGAAAAATCAATCAACGGAAAAGTATAAACAATTAAAAGAGAAAGCCAGATCTCTTGAGAAATATTATTTAAACAGTAAACATGGTATAGAGCTTTACAAAACTAAGAGAGTTGGTCTTGAATTGTTAAGAAAAGTTGGCCAGAAATAATTAACAAGTTTTTAATCAAACGTGTATTTATAAAAAGATTTAAAACAATGGAAATAATATACAAATTGTTATAATAAATGGTTTTTACAAAATTAATATGGTTGTTATGTTAATTGTTAAACAAATTGACAATTTTTGGTTATTTTTTTCAAGTTTATATTTTTCTTTTTGTATTAAATATTTTGTATATTATAATAAACTTTACAAAACAAGTCTTTTTAAAATAATGTTTTAGAATACATATATTGTATAAAAACCAATTAAAAACATCAATGTGATTACAGAATAATAATTGCTCATAAAAAATTACAGAACAATGGCACATGGTTATAATTGTAATATTTTACTTGCTTTAAAACATGAGGTTACGGAATACATGATTCTAAAAAATGAATATTGAAAATGATATGAAGTTTGATGATATTGTAAGAAGCCATTAATATAACAACTTGATTAAGTCAAAACAGTTGAAGAAATTAAAGTCATTTATATTAAAGATAGACTTGGTAGTCTATGCGACAATGTTGAAGCAGGTTAGACCTTAAATATCAAATGTAACTGAATGATATGGTTTTTAGTGTTAAATGGTTAATAAAATTATAAATTTTTTAATTAATGTTTATTTGTTATTTTTTGGTTAATAAAATGATGTTACATAATTGCCAAAGGCATATCAATTAAATACTTTTTCTATTATTTAGATATTTAGTTTTTAAATGGAAATCGTTTATTATAATGAGGAGTGGTATTATCTAAGAACCCATTATTGAGAAGTTTTACTGTATTGTGTAAAATGTTGACCTTTTGTTGAATTTTAACATTTATAACATACAATCAAATACAATTATATTATTTGTGCAACCACATAAACTTTTATTGTTCTCACTCAACAACTTTTTGTTAAGATATACATGTATATGAGATATATAAATTAATAACTTTTCTTAACTATAGTTTTTAAAAATGCAATAAAACATTACACAAAATAAATCAATTGTATTTAAACAACATCACAATACTCTTCGTTTAAAAAAGTGTATTTTTTTTAAATATTGCTATATGATAATTATTCATCAATTTTATAAATAATGTGTATTTTTCGAAATATTTGTGGGTTTAAACCCACAGTGTGCATTTTACTATTCGTTTAAATGTTACAGTTTAGCCATTAAACCTTCGCCCAGCAAATTAATCTTAGCCCCCCAAAAAACCAATTATTTTCTATTGTTATATTAAACTAATAAACTATATTTATATAAAAGTCAATTTTCTGAAATATTTGTTTTTTTAGTAAAAACCCGTTTTTTCAAAGAAAAATATAGGAATTTCTTTGGGCTAAAGTAAATTATTGGGCTAAGGTTCATTTGTTCTACTGTATATTAAGCGTTAATAAACATATATTAATCAAATGTAATCAGGGGTTTTCAAGTTCCAGTTTTTTGTTTAAGACGTGGCAAAAAATAAAAAATATCACATAAAACTTATCTTTTTCAGTTAAAAAATTTTAATCCATTCATTTTCAATTACAAATCAAAATGGTAAACACGTGGCTGAAAAATCTAAAACGACACTTAAATCAAAATTATTTGACTTTTAATTTTAACTATTCTAGTCAAAGTTTTTCAAGCCATAATAAATTTTATTTCAATAAAAATAAAAACAATAAAGTCACTGTAACATTATAATCTGTTTTAAAGTTGCGTTTTTTAAATAATGTGATTAATGTTACAACTCAAACTATATGAATAAAAATTTAAACAACGAATTCATAATTTATTTAAAAAATCAAAATTAAACACTTTATTATTTTAAAAACAATATCATATGACTTTTTTGAATAGATAACCTTAATAAATCAGTTCTTTGCATGATCAAATCGAGTTTTTTGGAAACCGTTATTCTTAGCTTATTTGCTAAAAACACATGGAAAGTATCCAGATTATATTTGGAATATAAAAAAAATGTTCAGTTATTTTCTTGTTTTTTAAATTTTAAACGATTATTTGTGTATTTATTTTATTTATGCAAAAGTGGCAACTGTGACAATTATTAAGAACAAATTCATGTTTGTCAAATAATCACATTTCAACAGCAAATAATACAAAAGGTTTTATATTTAACAACGATTGTTGTACTCAAAAATCATTTAACAACGACACGTTTCTTTTTCGATTAAGATAATAAGTTTGTAACAACACATTTGTTGAAAGTGTATTGATTCAAAGATTGTCACAATATTATTTGTAAATATCAATAAAAACATTGATTAACATATGAAACTTATCAAGAATATCAACACGATGAAAAAGTTGAATTATATGTTTACTTTTCGAAATATTATTTAAAAAGATATTATATCAAATCATTACAATCGGTTGTTAAAAAAATATAGAGTGTTTATAATAAATGTAGTGTTATTTAGTCTCTTTACAACGTTGATATCGTAACTAAAATAAATACACCCACTTAACAATATCTTAAATGGTTTGAAAAATAAGTCTTAAATGTCGTTTTGTTTTTTAGAAAATAAAAAAAATGAAAAAACAAAGGTATTTTGCCTTTTTTCTATTTTTCGGCATAAACACAATATCTTTTACAAGTTTGTTGAATTTTTAGTTTTTTTTTGAAAACCATCCTGGTTTGGTGGACCCCGAATGTTATGCAAATATTAATATTAGATAATTATTTTTATTACATCAAAAAATAATCCAATAATTATTAATTAATAACATGTGCAAATAGAACAAAACAATTTTTAGTTATTAAAAAGAAACCAGTGAAGTTTGTAACCATTTTCAGATGTGTAAAGCATATAAAACCGTCAATCTTTATATTTAAAACGGAAAATGGGATATAGTTGCCCTTATTGTCATGTCACAAGTTGGCAAAAGTGCAAAAAGTGCGGACAGTGCCAATGCAATTCATGTGGAAAAGATGCTTCTGGTAGAAAGAGAGAAGCTGGTAATTATTGCAACAGCTGCAGATGCACAAGAGATGGGTGCTTTGAATACGGAGGCTCTGGAATTGCTCCTTCATGGGCAGTTTAGTTAATTCTAATTTTTTGATATTCAAAATATGTTGAAAATAAAAAACATAAATGTACACTATTAAATATATAACATTTTATCAAAGTGAATTTATAATTACAAAACGATAAAATACAAAAACAAAGCAAGCTTTCAGTTATTTTTTAGTTGGCTTGTCATTGGTATTGAAAACTCAAGTTTTTCATAATTTGTATTGTCGAAACACCCCATCTCAATTTTCTTAATATGTTCCAAATTAATAGTCTTCAATGACACACAATTGTCAAAACAGAAAGGAGTCAACGCTGTTATTGATGACGGCAATACAACTCTCTCAAGTCGTGTTGCACATGCAAAACAAAAGTTTCCGATTTGAGTGATATTATCTGGTATTTCAATTTCAGTGATTGTCGTATTGTTGAAAAACGCGCCTTCATCAATATTATGAACAATTTCATCTTTCAAAATATCAATTCCAAATATTTTCAAATCGTTAAATTTTACTTTCACGTTGTCACAAAAAATGTTATTCTTTTCAAATTGTTTGTAAAGTAAATAACTGACTTCCCCACTATAAGTTATAAGTTTCTCGCCCTCAAAATATATTTTACTGAGTGATGTGCATCCTTCAAACACATCATTTCCAAATCTGATTTCTAAGTTACCCAAGTTGACACTTTGTAAATTTGAGCAATTCATGAAACAACCGTCCTCCACCTTTTCAAGTATTTTTGGAAATGTAAGACTCTCAAGTGAGTAACAATTTTTGAATGCGAATTTCTCAATTGTTTTAAGTGTTTCTGGGAAAACGATCTCTTTCAAGTTATAGCAATTCAAAAACGTGCAATGGGGAATACATTCAACATCTCCAAAATTTTCAAATTTGACAAAAGAATTACAACACCAGAAGACTCCATTTTTCATATGTTGAATTTTTGGAATTGTTTTTAAATTAAAACAATTCATAAAACACTGCGAGTTATAAACAACTTCCTGTGACTCACAACACACACTTTCAAGCAAGTAACAATTTGCAAAACATCGTTTCCCAACTTTCTTGAGACTCATTGGGAGTGTCACACTTTTCAATGAATGACAATTTATGAATACCTCATTATCAATTTTTTCTAAAGTATTTGAAAATGTAACACTTTGTAGAAATTGAGCACCACTAAAACATCCACCGCTAATCTTCTTTGTGACTAGTGACAAATCTATTTCTCTGAGATACTCACCAACAAAACTGCATTGTTCGAGAACGTTTATTTGTGATGGTATCACAAACTTATTGACATGATTGAAACTCATGGAAATATACTTATACAAATTATCCACATTTTTTAAAATTACGTTTTTATCTTCGTTGTCAACATTTTTGATTATGGAGTAATCAGCCTTTGTACCATACATGTCATAATCGCTTATTTTGTAATTAACGTTATGAAACATATACCCAAACGCCTTCATCTGAAGATAAAATGTGTAACTCACAACAACAGTGTCAAAGAAATACTTTTTGAATTGTTCGATTTCATTAACATTTGAATTGTCGTTTGAGTCGTATGATGTGTTTACACTATTTGAAAATGATATTTTTGTGAGTTGGGTGCACTCATCGAATATTGAACTTTCAATTTTTTTTATTGTTGTCGGCAATACTACTTCACGCAAATTTTTGTACTTCCCAAAATACAAATAACATATTTTTGTGACACTTGATGGGACTTCTATTCTTGTACTATCAAGAGGAAACTCGACTTTATAATTCAGTTTTGTTGTATAAAGTGTTACAGTATGAATAATTTCTTGATCTTCTGTTTCT